AATCAGATCCCTAACTTTCGCGACATTTTCTGGTGTTTTGTCCGTTGACGGCCGTCCTGAACGATCGTCATCATCAGTCAATGTTCGGCCATTTTTAAAACGCTTATACCAGTTGTAAGTTTGTGTCTGGCCTAAATTGTTTTCACCAAAAGCTTGTTTCAACATTTGGTGCTTTTCTGCAGCGGTTTTCCAAAGTTTGAAACAAAACTTTATACAGACACACTGCTCTCTCAGGTCAGCCATCGCAAAACCGCAAACTCACAGAAACACAACAATGGAAATATGTACACCAACAATAAACCAAACCACTCAACTCGATGCCACTTGCCACACTGATTCAAGAAGGATGTGTGAGGAGACACCTAGCGGTATTTTGATGTACTCATATCCATTCGCGGGCAAAATTCAAATTTCGGAGACTTGGATTGCCCCACGTATTTTAAAGAAAAATCAAAATTGGAAAAAGGAAAGAAGCATACCAAATATCAGTGACACAAGTTGTAATTATTTAAAAAGAATTGTTGTATCCTGTAAGGTTATCATTTAAAGAGCTTATATGTAAGTTTTCAAGCTGATCCCTCTTCCAAGAGATCATGGTGCCTCTTGTGTCAGACTTGTACTTGTGTCAAACTTTTCTCAATAGTTTTACAATTAATGTCACACAAAATCTGACAGTTTGTCAAATTTGAGGCCAACTAGAATTGTGTGAGAAAGTGCTGAAGTACTGGACAAGCCACAGACCATAAACATTGGGCTATAAAGGAATTTTCCAGGAATAAACTTTGTACATCTGTTGTTTAGTAAGTTGCAGCAGAATATTTCTGAATGCGGTTCTCAGAAGCTTTGATGCCCCTTTAAATGGTCCGTTTACACACAGGTATAGTTAAGTCGTCAGTGTTTGTTCCTCATGGATGACTAAACATTTTTACCAGCAGTTACATCTTCATAATGTATGTGTTGTCAAGAAACTGAAAAGTATTTATCCATTCTGCTCTGTTTTCCAAGAAGAGAAGATGGATTCATTCTAAACTGACATTCTCTGTTTTTTACGAAGCTAAAATAAGAATTTGTCTTAATTTAATTAATTTAAGATACAGTTTCATTTTGTTTGAGCTACTTAAAGAGTTATAGCCTCAATTTTACAGCATTTTCTAGTTTATTACATACAGTAGAACCCAAAATAATATTCTTTGATTTAAAGTTTTCCCTCATTTAACATTCAGTCTCAGTGACCCAAAGTCAGTAATCTTACAGTTATATTCCCATCTGTCAAGATTTTGGTTAGGTTAGTATTCAAAGCCACTGCTACCCAGAGAAATGTTAAATGGGAGGTTTGGTATAGTTATCATTTTCTGACTTTATAGGTACAATGAGGAGACTTTCAACTGTTACACTTTTGTCCTGACATTCCTGTGTAACTTGCGTTATGGAAACCTAAGCAAGGCAGCCACCTGTCGAACAACGTTCTGTGAGAATTTCATTGTACCTCGTACTACAGCCGCAGGGAAATACATTTCTTTATATCGTAAACTGAGCGATAGGGGCTGTTATATTCAAAGACATGGTGCTGTTGATGCCACTTCTGTTACTTTACCAAACAGATGATGACAGGAAGTGAAGTGTAATGGAGGTTATGATGATACAGCATGCTGCATCTTGAAATATGAACAAGAGGCTTGTAATGGATACTGTCTAAACTTGGAAAGACAGTGCTTAGAAGAAATTCTTGTTTTCTGTTAAGTACTGCAGTAATAAATGAAGCCTATTCCACTCAGAGAGTTACCACCAAAATTTTCTTTCCATCACCACAGAGCTGTTTGGAGTGCACCTGAGTTCTAATTTTCTGCTCCCTGATACCTACACTCCATTTCTTTCCTTCTCATTTTGACAGCAACCTTTTGAAGGTCAGAAAGAAAACAGTGATTGTGTTCCTGAGCGGAATATAGATGTCCGCACTGAGGTGAGGGAAATAATGAACTCAGGCTCTTCTCACTAGGCTGCCTAACGCCTACCCCCTCCCCCCTTTCTGCTTTTCTTTCCTCTCACTGTATTCTGTATTNTGACTACAATTTTAACGAATCTCAAATAGCGGCCCTTTAAAGAATTCCGTACCGCTGCCACAACCTAAGTTTAAAGGGCCGTAGGATAAAGGTTAAATTAACAGATGACAACAGAATGGCTGCATAGAACAGTATTTTATTATGAAAATAATGAATACCAGATGAAACATGCAGCCCTCGTAAGTATTCCAAGGATGTAGCCCCCCCTCAATCACTTGCAATGCTTGACTACACTTTTTCTGTTAAACTGCTTGTGTACTCTTACCATCACACATTCATATTCTAACAGTTCCTCGTTTGCCAGTCCTCACCAAAAACAATAACTGTTCTGAGCTACTCGGGGGTGGGGGTGGGGGGCAGGAAAGGACCAAGCAGTAATTTGTGTAGTCTGTGCTACTGGTTGGCTGGATGCTGAGAGAGCCATGTTCAGCTTCAAAGAATATTTGAAATGCCTTCCCTAAGTATGGAATACACATGACCATCACACAGTTACAACAGTGCACCCACCTCCCCATCCACATATGCAACAGTATGTTGGCAGAGGGGACATGTTCAGTTGGTAGAACAATCTCAACTCGCTGCCCATGCTCATTCTTTTCCTGATCTGAGTATCTGGTATCAAAGCCCTTCATAAATTTGCTCATTAATTTGTTAAAAATAATTTCAGATTCATGATAATAAATATCTTGTACAGTATCTATTTGGGAAGTTGAAATTACAGTGAAGAACTGCTCTCTGTAAGCTAGGATATACAGGGTGTCCCAGACTTTGGGAGAATGTTCCTTATGTTAAAGTATGCTGATGTAACCCAAAACACCTATGCCCAAAGTTTAACGGTTACGGAGATAATGGCCCCAGAAAAGTGTGGTCTTCTGGCGGGTCCACACCCTGTACCTGTCAGCAGGCAAGTCTTATCTATGTTTGTCCTTGACTGTGGTGATTCACACTAGCCGTAAGCTTATGTGCTCCTTTCAGGATACATTGCGGCCGCGTTTTGAATGGGTGGTAGGTTAATTGTGCGGAGTTGCTGAAATGCCTTTTATGTTTTCACGCGTGGAATTTTGTGTGTGGATTTTGCGGTGGCAATGCACATGCTGCTATTGAACNATTTTATTCAGTGATGAGGCGTCTTTTACCCAGGACGGTGTAAATAATTTACGAAATGTGCATACGTGGTCCCATAATAATCCACATGAGATACTCGTAATGGTAACGAAATTCCAAAAGAGATTTTCTGTGATTGTATGTTTAGTACAGTTATGTAGTCGGCTTATACCAGAATGCGCAGTCAGCCATGTTACGTCAGCGCTTGCCATTCATGTGTCATGTATAGTCCTTGGAACCCTAAGGACAACTATGACATGGTGTGCGAGTATTTTTGTAGTTCAATTTAATGGCTTCATGTCACCCACAAGTTAGTTTGATGTTACGTACATTATTAACATTACAGAAACCACATATTCCTGCCAGTTTTAATATGTATTTGGTAATCAACAAGTGTGTAACACATGTCAAAGTTTCACACTTCTCTGGCCATTATCTCCGTAACCGTTCAACTTTGGACAGAGGTATTTTGGGTTATATCGGCATACTTTAACATAAGGAACACTCTCCCGAAGTCTGGCACATTCCTCCTGGGACACCCTGTATATTAAAGAGATGACACATGAATGCAAAATAACTTATGTTTAATGTTTCCTACTTTCTGTCTTAGGCATAGAGGTCTTTATTCAATTGTTATTATAGTTTTATTGAGCCAGGGCAGAGTAGTCAATATAGCGACTGTCTATGGGCTGGAGTTAAAGTCCCAGTAGGGCCAGAATTTTCTCTTTATATTGTCCAGACAAGCTCTGGGGCCCACCCAGCCTTCTATCAAAAGGGTATTGGGGGCTCTTTCCCTGGGGGTAAAGTAGCAGGAGCATGAAGCTGACCAGTCACCTCCAGCTAGTGCCAAGGTCAAGAAACTGTGGCTCTATACATCCATTCCCCCATACGCTTTCATGGCATAGTGCTTAATTAGTTAAGTGCAAGGAAAACTTTACCTTTTGCCTACTATAGTTTTACTAAGTAGCATGCAGTAATAGGCGTTGTAACTCCAGATATGCTAGCAGATAACACCGAACACCTTGGTGTATTGATGGTGCTCTAGATTTGTATTCTGGAGGTGCTAAATTAAAATCTCAGCTGGAACACCAGCTGCCATGACTGAGGGTTTTCACGGTTTTTGTTTACTAGGCGAATAGTGAGGATAGTGCCTCAGTGAGGCCATAACTGCTTCCTTCAAAATCCCTTCCAATTAATCATTCCTCTATTACCATATGTTTACTATACAGTCTAGCCACTAACAGAATTATAAAATAACCACAATAAAGAAAATACAACATATAACAGGTCTAATTCATATTTTATGTGGAGTTGTCCACTGTTGTAATCATAGCATAGCTTATCATCACAGTGCAGTGAATTACAACACATATTCTTGAAATCAGTTTAAATTGTGTAATATTCTGATGGGAAACATAATTAGAAATCAGTTTCACCATAATCGTTTGAAATATCATATAGTAATAAACTTATCATCACCATGATCAGTCATGATCATCATCATCTGCAAGGCTTGTGCCTCTTGGCCTGCTCCTGTCCTATTTATATGTGACTTGATCTTTCAGTCTGTTTTACACTTTGATTTTCTCCTTCTTTGTAGTCTGTTATTTTTTTTTCATGTGTTCTTTTATCCTTTGTGGTAAGTTGTATATGTAGATTCTAAATTGACCTGACAATAGTGTATATACAATTTCATAATTACTGGGTGTTATGGCTTTGTCCATAGTCCAGTATTCTAAAATTCAGAGAACACAAAGGTTTCAGATACTGGTTCTATTTGAAGTGATTCCAGTGATTGAGGTTAGCTCTTTCTAAGGGACCAAACACAGTAGGTGTCTCCCTGCCTCGTCTGAGGATGGAAACAGATCCAGTTTCCAAAATGTTGTGTTCTCTAGTTTTGAGAATNTTTTTTTTTCATGTGTTCTTTTATCCTTTGTGGTAAGTTGTATATGTAGATTCTAAATTGACCTGACAATAGTGTATATACAATTTCATAATTACTGGGTGTTATGGCTTTGTCCATAGTCCAGTATTCTAAAATTCAGAGAACACAAAGGTTTCAGATACTGGTTCTATTTGAAGTGATTCCAGTGATTGAGGTTAGCTCTTTCTAAGGGACCAAACACAGTAGGTGTCTCCCTGCCTCGTCTGAGGATGGAAACAGATCCAGTTTCCAAAATGTTGCGTTCTCCAGTTTTGAGAACACCAGACAGTGGAGAGAGTCCAAGAACACAGTAAATTCAAAGTTGTATATGCTTGCTTCTTGCTTTGTATTCGGGCTTGTTTTCTTGTCTGTTCTATGGTAACATGCTGCTGGTCTCAAGAAACATATTTCTGCATGTTTAATTCTGTTAAGCTTTTACTGGGATAGAGTCCAACATTCATTACTGTGAAGGAGGGGCAGTACTGGTCGGACTTTTTAAGGCTTCACTGCAATCACTCTAGTTACTTCTTTCTTCTTGCTGGTTCCTTCATTGTCTTACTCTTCAACCTTGAAGATGGAGACAGTACATTCCTCAAAAATGAAAAACTTGCATATATTGTACTAAAGAGCATTAAATCCCAGAAAACAGTACTTGTCACATTTCATCAATATTTGTTTTTATGATTTCTTGAAGTAGTGTTTGCTTAACATAGGCTTTTACTTCTGTAATCTCATTTCTGAATCCAAACTTCTGTGAGCCTATTCAGAACCCAACATTCCCAAGATGTTCCATAATAATAGTAATATATATCACAGTTTTTGTTCTTACTAGTTCTTTTCCCTTATTAATTGTGGATGCTTTCATGTTATACACTGAATTTTTAGATAACTGGTTCAGAATCCTTTATGATAAGGTGTAATAGTTCAAGATGTCTCTTATAAATAATTCTGAAGCAATTAAAATAGTTGGTTAACTGTAGACAAAAGTATTATCAATAAATTTTTATTTAAAACTTGTGCTATTTCTTGCTGTTCTTCAGTAAACTGGTCTAATTAAAGGTAGGTGACAAAGGCATTGATATCTTACACATTGATTATTTGTATATAGTTTCCTTTACCAGTTGTAGAACTGTTTTTATTTATATTCTGTTATTGTTAGAGTTTGTGGAAAGCCTTTAATTCCAAGAATTTCCCCTAGTTTAGTTCATAGTTACTTTATGAAAAGGTTTTACTTAACCTACGAGTATGAAAGTTAGACATAAAGGAAGACTGAACTTTTGTTGTTTTAATTTAGTGACTGTGTAAACAGTCATTACATGGTCCATAAGTAACTTTTAAAAAGTAGTTTCCTCACTAATTTTGAAGGACCTCAGATCTGACGAGTAGGTGTGCTAATATATGGAGGTAAAAGGTAGTCCTGGACTGGCCAACTGGAGAGATCCAGAGCACCCCATCCTATTTCTCTGATCTCTCTTGATATTAGCCTCTGCCTATGACTGTCCTCTAGTGGCCTTTCCTTCTGGCTCTCCCACCAAAACACTCCATGCATTCCTCTTATCCCCTCTGCATACTACACATCCTGCCAGTCCCATTGTTCTTGACTTGAACATTCTAATTATATTTAACAAAGCATACAAGTTACAAAGCTACTCATTATGCAGTTTTCTCCAACCTCCTATTATTTCATCCATTTTCAGTCCAAAGATTTTCTTCAACGCTCCGTTCTGAAACACCTTCAGTGTTCTAATGTCAAACCAATTCAAAGCACACGTCAATAAAAACATTCATAAAATATGTTCAGTGGTTAAACTGTACATCCTATACAAACATGTATAAAACAACAAATGCAAATCCTTATGACAACAGACAGAGCTAGGGTCTTGCCAGGGAGGATGTTCCAAAAGAACTAAGGCAGTAACTGTAAAAAAAACAATGCTATAAACTTGTCATTAGTCCGAGAGGGGCTGAACGCAAAGATAAATGAGTTCAATATTGATGCTCATCTTACTTTCCTACCATAAAGATTGAGGCAGAGCCAGCACTACAGCACAGGTGAACCTTGGAGCGCCTTGGAGTCACCTGCAGTGGCATGATTTTAGGGTAAAGCCATTCTAAAAATCTGTTTCTTTTTATATTTCAGGTCAAATGAAAACCAATTTCTGCTGAGCTTGTTCATATTGTGATTACTAATACACAGTAATCTGAACGTATCTGCCAATAATGAAGATGAATTTTTTAAGTAATCATTCATTCATCAATTGCTTTTGGCCCTTTGTTGTACCCTGGTCGCTTCTTTCGGTTTCGTAATCCTACACAGTTGGCAGGACTCCTTGGATGGAGAATTAGCATGTTGCAAGGCTGCACAAACACAGATATCCATGCTATATAAACATAACATGTCGCCATATTCTGGATACCCGATATTCTGAAGGATTTTGAAGGTGTTGCATGCATATAAGGCAAAAACATCTACGTAGATTAAAGTAGATATTTTCGAGGTGCATATACATAACATTCAGCAAAGGAAATTCAAAATACACCAAACGTCTTGAATTCACACCACAAATATAAAAACACTGATGTGCAAGCATCGAAAAATGTTCTTAGTGAATGTCACATGGACCTTTCGAGCTATGCTGTACTTGTAAAATGTGATTATAACTTGGCAGCAAACGGAACAACATGAAGACAAACATAACCGCTTTTCCAGCTAATTTTAAGGAACATTAGCTCCTCAAAAGTTGGCGACAGAATGCGCGTAGAATCAGTGCAAGGAGTTCCTTCCTGTGAATCTGAATAATGGAAATCCGTGGTGTGCAGTTAAACCTATAATAAACAATGTTGTAGGTTATGTGTTATCAATAATGGGATCAGTGCCTGTCTTTGTGAACAGAGTTATTCAAATTTCTAACAGCATTTCAAAAACTAATGTAATAAGTCGCATCCCGCTGTGCAATCGCATTAGTATTCGTGTTGCAAGCCAGTCTCTCTTAATTAGAGAATTGACAAGCGTGAATGATGATGATTTGTATGAAATTAATGATTTGTATGAACGAGACAGAGAATATAACAAGAAAGCAACAGTTTCTATGCTGATGGAATTGCTTGAGTGCCCTGTTAAAGAAGTGGAATCAATGGTACAGAGGTGTCCGGAACTTAAGTTTGTGAGTTCGAAAAATATGCAGTGTAACATTCAGTTCTTTAAAGAGAAAGGCGTTTCAGAAGAAGTTTTGTATCATAATCCATGGCTGTTGAAGTATAAAACAGGTGATTAAGATTGTAACACTGTAACACTTCAATAATTTTAGAAGTTGAATAGGAGTAAGGTAACCAGAACCTTTAAAAATGTATCTGGTATGTTAGTATATCTGTCTGGTTGTCATTACTATTTAGATATATTCTATGATTCAGGTAAATCATTGAGTGTGAACCATTTCTCTTGATATGTATGGTTACAGCTGCACAATGGAAACTTGAAGTGTGGTAGTAGTTAGTAGGAAGTTAGAGAAAAGTTTTAGGTTAAAAGTGTATGTATAACAGTCCATCAATAATGCAACAGTTGTTCCACTTTTTTACACTTACCCTTTAACATAACGTGTTTTGGCCTTAGATGGCCATCTTCAGGTGTCTTAATATATCAAAACTGCTACACTGCATTAATATGCGGTAAAATCACACACTGTAGTGCACTTAATAAAATAAAATAAAATCCATTAAAATTGTCATCACTTTGGTGAAATTCTATTCCACCACTCAAGGGGTGTTGTCAGTTTGTTTAGAACTATAGGTTTGTCTCCACGTAGGTTTTGTTTTCTTTCCATGTGTTCTAGGTGTTGCACGACATAATTTTCTTTCATGGCAGCAGTTACATAGAGGTGAATGTGCCCAAAATTAAGATGTCTTTAGACATAGCAGTGATTGTTTCAACACTTCCTGTCAGCTTGAGCTCAGTGTGGAGTAATGTCTGTCAATACTACAAATAATATGTTTTCAGACATTACCCATCGTCTCTTCTTTATCTAAAAAGTGTCCTGTTTATTTTTCAAAAGACAGCGTTCTGTTGTGTTTTGAAAAATGAACAGGACAGGAAGCTAGGGACTAGCTCTATTAATTGGGCCCAACTGAGTAGGTTTTATCTGAAGACGGAGACAGGATCCAGTCCCTGAAATATTGTTTTGAAAAATAAACAGGAAGGCATTTAGATGAAGAGAGAATGATGGATAATGTCCAAAAACGTAATATTTGTACTAATGTACCATCATCACAAACTTTTAGGTCTTATCTGTCAGTACTGATTAGTGCTATCAGCAGATGAATGAGTTGCCTAACTCTGATGCTCCCTCTTATGACCAAGTTGAAGCATGTTGAAAGTTTTCTGAGCAACAGCCACAATCCCTGGGCAGCTGTGGGTAAACTATGATGATATGAGGTAGTGTTTGCAATAAATGAGCAAATTGGGTCAGGTGATATGTTTCTGATTTTTATTTGGAAGGATCTTGCTTCAAATCTTGGCTGGTGACACTGATTGTCTGTTCTGAGGGTTTTCAAAGTATTCCTCAGTCCCCCTGGGCAAACACCAGGATTGCTTGGTCTGAACATGCTTTTTGTCTCTCTGTCTGTCTGTCTGTCTGTTTTAGAGTACTGTCAGTGCCTTGAGACAGTGTGGCAGTAAATGATAGGATAATTGGTGAATTATGAATTGGTAAAGAATTTGGAATTGGAAACAAGCAGATATAACCTAATATGAATTACTATCCTGACATTTGCCTAGAAGGACCAAGGAAAACTATGATAAACCTCAGTCAGGATAGGCAGTGACCTGGCTGTTATTTGAACTGAACACCCCCTGGATATGAATCTTAGATCATTACCACTACAACAGCCTGCTTAGTGTTCTTTATATGCATGCCTACAAGAAGGAAATTACACGTAATTTTCAGGTTATTAAATGCATAACATACTAGGTGTGTGTGTGTGTGTGTGTGTGTGTGTGCATGTGCATGTGTGCTCACAGCTGCAGTTAATTTTTGTTTTCATAACAGTGCTGCTCTGGAACTACACATTTTCAATGGTAAGAATGTTTGAATGCACAAAAGTTAATTAACATAGACCCATAAAAGTTTAAAAACCAGGTGAACAACTGGTTTGAATTCATTTTTTTACATATCAGCAAAGAGTTTTGGGAAGCTGACAGATGGACATTGTTGGCAAAATTCAGTGATATAATACTTGTTTGTAACATTTCTTAGTTTGGCATATATTTAAAAGAATAAGAAAGCAAAGAAAGAATGCTATGAGACATTGCGTGGAGATTCCCACACGTGATTGGCTCTGTTACCTTTGCAGTGAAATTGATTGTTGCTTAGAAGACTTAATACTGAACAACAATGAAAAGAATGCAACCAGGAAAGCATGTTTCAAAACTAACAGTTCTCATCTGGACCCCTAATGTGCATACCTGTATTTTCCTCAAGAAAGTTTTATCAAAGGAGATGGTCTTCATAAACTACTCAAATTTAATAAACATTGTTAAAGATCTTTTCAAGAAAATTGCTGATGCAGAAACTCTCAAATACGGAGTGTGAATAAAATTTTTGCTGCCATTGCGGCACTGCTCTTGAGGGGCACGTCCATCCATGTCAGCAGACATACACACATGGCATTATAAAAACCACTTTATCAGATTTAATGGGCTAAAAATATGCAAATGCTTGGTTTTCCACCATCACAGTACTCCCTCATACTGCATGTACTGTATGAGAAAGTAAAAAGTGAACCATACCCTACAGTAGTCATTTTGAGTGGGTATATCCAAACATAAATTAAATTTGTGTTGCAACTTATAGTATGGATCTCCTATGTCACGTTGGAGCTAAACCCTTCTTGAGGAGCTGCCAATTCTGCAGCTACTCAAGAATTTCCCAGCATTTTATGGAACCCAAGGGTTACCGTGTTCACAGGAGCCCTTTACTGGTCCCTATCCTGAGCCAGATCAATTCATACTAACCCATCATATCTGTCTAAGATCCATTTTAATATTGTCCACCCACCTATGCCTTGGTCTTCCCAGTGGTCTCTTTCCTTCTGGCTTTCCCACCAATATCCTATATACATTCCTCTACTCCCCTATTCATGCTACATGCCCTGCCCACCTCATCCTCAACTTGATCATTCTAATTATACTTGAGGAAAAGTACAAGTTATGAAGCTCCTCATTATGCAGTTTTCTCCAGCCTCCTGTCACTTCATCTCTCTTAAGTCAAAATATCCTCCTCAACACCCTGTTCTCAAAAACCCTCAGTCTATGTTTCTCCCTTAATGTAAGAGATCAAGTTTCACACCCATACAGAACCACAGGCAAAATTATAGTTTTGTATATTCTAATTTTTATGTTTTTGGACAGAAGAGGAGAAGGCAAAAGGTTCTGGACTGAATGGTAGCAAGCATTACCCGAGTTAATATCCTCTTAATTTCCTCCTGGATCAGTTTTTATTTGTTACTGTTGTTCCTGAATATTTTCTTGTGAAACTGTGAAATATGCAGATGACCTTGTGTTAATGGCTAAGGAAGAAACTGTGCTACAGGGTATGATTGATAGACTAATCGAAATTGGAAGGTGCTGTGGCATGGATATAAATTTGGAAAAAACAAAAGTAATGAAAATTTCGAGACAACCAACCCCAGTCACAATAAAGATAGACCAAAAACAACTGGAGAATGTGAAATGTTTTAAATATTTGGGTAGCTTGTTAACAGATGATGGAAGGTGTACTTGTGAAATTAAATCCAGGATTGCCATGGCAAAAGCTGCATTTAGCAAGAAGAAGAATCTTTTTACCAGCGAATTGGACTTAAATTTGAGAAAGAAACTAGTGAAATGCTACATTTGGAGCATAGCTCTGTATGGGGCTGAAACTTGGACACTTAGGTCAGTAGATCAGAAACACCTGGAAAGCTTCGAAATATGGTGTTGTAGAAGGATGAAGAAGATCAGTTGCACTGATTATGTGAGAAATGAAGAAGTGTTATTTAGAGTCAGTGAGAAGAGGAATATCCTACACGAAATAAGAAAACGGAAGGCTAATTGGATTGGTCATATCTTACGCGGTAACTGACTTCTAAAAGAAGTTACTGAAGGAAAGATAGAGGGGCGGATGGAAGTGACCAGAAGATGAGGAAGAAGATGTAAGAAGATGCTGGATGACCTTGGGGACAGAAGGGGATATTCTCATTTGAAAGAGAAAACTCCAGATCGCATCAAGTGGAGGAACTGTTTTGGAAGAGAATGTGGACCTGTTGTCTTGACAGATTACAGATGAATGAATGAATGAATGTCTGCAATAGTGACACACACACAAGAAAATATGACACATAAAAACTATACATAACTGCAGAAGAGTGCAATGACTGGTCGTGAGATTGAACTGAACATTGACGTGCATGAAAGAGCACAGTGAACAAGTGCAGTGCAGTGGTCTCCCCAAAAAGAAAAATCACCTGATGAAGGCCCATGTGAGGCTGAAACATGTCATAAAGAAAACAGAAGAATACATGTAAAACTAGAGACATTCAAGAAATTTTGATAATCACTTTTAATGTATAAAACATTGTTTTAGTGTCCCATTGACATTTTAATGATTTTAACATCATAAAAAATATTAAAATACATTTTTTAGTGAGTGACATATTCTTGATGTACTTTATGTTGTTGCATTGTTGATGTGTACTCTGATAATGATTATCAAATACATGTTCCAGTTCTTCGTAGAACCTGCCCTTTATATCATCAATTTTATCTTCTGTTGGGGCATGAACATTCATGACGATATCACACCAGTGACCTTTTAGTATTATATGTGATATCCTATCACTAGTGAACTCTACCCTCTTAACTGCTGATACGATTCTCTTATGTACGAAAAAAACCTATACCTAATTCACGATTTTCATGCCCCTTTCCATAGAAAAATGCATATTCGCCTGCTGGTTCAATCGAACCTCCATCCCATCTGACCTTCTGTACTTCCGCTAAATCTAACTTATATTTTGAGATTTTTTCTGCCACTACCCTGAGCGAACCTGCCCTATACAAACTCTTGATGCTCCATGTAACGAATCTCATGTCCATTTCCTTTAGCCTAGGTCGTTTATCCAGAGGATCCGTCCAGGTCCGAGGCTTTGTGTTCATTTTCATAACATGTTTATTATTTATGGTGATGATTTGTTTATAGCCGCATGTCCAACCCCCAAGCTGGAGGAACACCCCTTGCTGGTTGTCTGTGACTGCTTATTTAATATATTTGCAGCTTTGCTCCATCTGCAACCTGAGGACGCGCTGTGCTGTGATGACAAGGCACCAACCTAACTTGGAATTTAGATAGACAACATAGTTTTAGTTTTTTCTTTATGAGATGTGAATGCTGTCACTTCTTACAGCATAGTAAAACACAGGAAAGAAATTTGGTCCAACCCATCTCATTGTATTTCTGGAGATCACCATTTTTCCGGCATGGACAATCTATGGGAAAAGTGGAGGATGGCCTACACTTAGGGTTCTTATACTGATCTCCAGCATAGCTCAGTCAGTTGAAGCTACAGGTTGGGTGACTGGAGAATCAGATACCTAATACCTGGTATGGGCAAGAGATCCTCCCCTCTCTTCTGCTCTGCAGCATCCAGCCTGGCTCTGGGGCCCACACAGCTTCCTATCCAATGAATAATGGGGCTTTTTTCTTGGGTGTCATGCATCTAGTGTCTCACCATTCATGTTTATTCTGTTCAAATGAAGAGAACGTTTCAAATTAACAGTAAAGTTTCCTGTATGCTTGTTTAAGCATGTGGGAAAGTGGAGGTCTAGATCCACACGTTCTTAACATTGGCACTATAGGGAGGTCAATGGTCAGCTTCATGTACCAGGTGCTTTTTCTCCAGTGAAAGAGCCCCCGGTATCCACCAAGTAGGAGGATCAGTGGGCCTCTCTGCCCCTTCTGGAAACTGAATCTCAGTTCACCAGCCATTCAGCCTCGAGTCTAGTCAGTATACTGACTGAGCTATGCCTCATCCCAAATTAAACAGAAGATAAAAGGAAAGCAGAAAAGAGAGTCAAATTTTATCCATTCTGTTAGTTTTAAGATTCTAAATTCTGCCCTTCCATAGGGTTCTCATAATGGTGTATAACATTCAAGATTATTGGGTCTTTGGACTTTGCCCATTGTCTGTATTTTGAAAACTAGAGAATGCAACATTTTGGAAACTGCATCTGTTCCAGTCCTCAGATGAGGGCGAGACACCTGCTATGTTGGGTTCCTTAGAAAGAGCCTACCTCAGTCACTGGCCTTGGTTTCCAAAATGTTGTGTTCTGTGGTTTTCTGAATACCAGATGATGGACAAAGTTTAAAAACCCAGTAATTCTATTTTTTTTTTGTATCACTGTCTTTCAGGGTCACTGTCATATAAGCTGAATATTCTTGAGAAAATGAAGTTGGCTGATATATCTGCAGTAATACCTCTTCTTCAGCTTCCTGTACCTAAACTCAGAAACTTTGAATCATTGACGAAGAAAGAGTCCCGCAAAGTGCCTCATGGTAACCGCCTTAAGTACACAAGTGAAAAGCTCCAGGTATATATGTTGTCCTAATAGTATAAATATCAGTACAGTATATAGTTGTGTTATTTCGTTTACAGTGCTATTTTATGTTCTAGTGCAATTTGGAAGACGTGTGTAAGGTGTTTCAGCAGCACAAGTTTCTATTCACTATCCCATTTGACCGCTTTTCAGCCATCATGGATCTTCTGCTTGGTATGTATGTGTATTGTAGGGATCCCAGATGTCTTAATTTTAGTGGAACAGTACCGATTTTGGAAGTTATGTCTTAGCTGTGTATATGACAGATACATATACGAGGGGGTACCCAAAAGAAACCGAACTAATTTTTTTTTAAACTTATTTATTCAAATTTTAAGCACAAACCTTCAATCCCCTTCAAAGTACTCTCCACTTACACTAATACACTTGTCTAGTCTTTTATTCCATTTTTCAAAACATTGTCTAAATTCATCTTTTGAGATGCTTGACAGCGCCTCCGTCGTTTTTTCCTTCACCTCAGCAACATCAGCAAAAC